ACCAAGATTCGGATCTGCGCTCAGAGGACAGCAGAGATGCCGAAGGCTGGACGGAGAAGGATATTCAGAAGAACAAGCTGCTCCGGAAAGCAGAATTGGAGGCCGAGGCTGGCTTCTACAAGTTCCACGACCGGCAGGATGCTCAATCCACAGCTAGTTCGGGTAAAAAGGTGGTCATGGAGCCCATCGATGATGACGAGTTCTTTCTGCGCAAGCGCGGCATTTCCGAGGATAACATCCAGTTGCGCCAGTACATCAGTGAGGCCATCCGCGAGGGTTACGACATGCCCAACGCCTTGAAGCACGTGGGCTATTCCGCCGAACAGGTTCCGGCGGAATATGGTGACTACGATGTGCCGCCGGCCAAGCCACGTCGCCTGCATCGCAACTATCAGCCGGAGTTTGACTCCCAGGAGTTCCAGCGCAGTGATTACGGCGACGATCTGTCCATGTCACAAAATGGCAGTGAGTTTACTCCAAAGCGACCACTTCGCAAAGCACGCAGTCGCAGCAAGTACTCCATTGAGGGCAGCCAGGATATACCCCAGGATGGGGGAAGCAGCATCCAGTACTTCGACGACGACGAGGAGTACCTTCGACCTCCGGTCAGGGATCAACCGGTTACGGAGTCCGAGCAGGCACTCAATAACCTCGATCTCGGCGGCAAGGCAGCGGCGATGATTCAGGAGGAGCTGGAGCAGGAGCGACAGAAGCCCCGTCCGCAGGCACCGAGGCGCCAGAAGAAACGCACAAGGGACGACGCATCCGTCGACAAGGATGCGGACTCCTTCATCAACGGCTTCGGTGGTAGATCAGTATCGAACACCTTTTTGCAGCCACACGAAGATGTGAGTATTACTTTTAAGCTTTAAGGGCAAATTTCTCAATGTCAAGTTAACTTTTTTCATTAAGTTCTAATTGCCATTGCGGAAAAAATATAGTTTTAGGGTTTATATCTGATTTAGAATTTGTCTTAAATTAACTTTCTCTGACAGATAACCAATTATAGCTTTAACGTGGCACTGAGAAATTGACCGTTTGTGATTAAGCAACATTTTAAACTCATATTATTAGGAAACTCTTAGAGACTGTTTACTAAAACTATTTTCCGTTTCCAGGTAATTGTTTATCGCACTGAACACGAATATCGTCACATACCGCTAGCCACGCCGGATAGATTCACGGACGCCACATCGGCGCGCACGCAGCGTTCCGAGGACGACCGCACCTCGCGTGGTGCCGACTCCCTGATCCTGGACGGGCACACAAAGTACAGACCCGAGCTGGAGGATAACGAGAATGTGGGGCCACGGACCAAGAGCGACGAGAAGTTCGTCATCGAGATGCTGGAGAGCGATGGGTAAGTAGGAGCCCCCCGTTACCGCACAATAGAATGCCAGGAGTTGCTTTCTTGCCCGCTTTCAGCTACGCGGTGGTCCGCAAAGAGCCACTGCCGAAGCCCACACCACCTGCCCGCAGGAAGAAGTTCACCCGGTCGCCGGGCGAGCGGTTCGCCACGTTGCCCAGCATCCGTGGCTCTCGGGGGTCGCCGCCACCGGCTCGACCACCACCGCCACAGCAGTACGTGCCCACAGAGGACTCCCCGCTGGTGCCACGGCGCAGATCCGCGGCCAGTCTGGACGAGATTCCCCTGATGATCAAGTCGAAGTAAGAGTATAGCCTCTTGAGCTTTGACCACTTGATTTGTTTTTCGTTTTTTTTGGTTGCCGTTAACTTGTTTCGAATGCAATTCTGTTAAGTTTTTATTTAATATTCCTTTGTTGTTAAGTTTTAGACTAGGCTAGGCTAAGCCACTAATCCGATCCCCCCGAGACACGCACTCCACACACAATAAAGCAGTTCACCACACAGACACTGACTCTTCTTGCTTTTGCCTTTGGCTTTTTGCTCAGTTTCGTTTTGCCCAACTCAATCCCATGACTCTATCTAATCCTCCTTAAACCTTAAACCTTTTCCCTAGCTACGAGAAGGAGCAGCAGCAGAAACAGCAGCCGGAGGAGGAGGATGACTACGAGGAGCCGGGTGCCCTAGATCGCAACAATCTGCAGTCGGGCGCGGTCATTAACAAGATGAAGTTCCGCCCGCTGCCTCCGCCACCGCGTCCTCCGCGCGAGAAGCGATCCACGAGAGCGGGAAGCCAGCCTTTGGAGAGTTACGAGGACAGCGAACGACTGGCCAGTTCCAGCCAGGCGGATAGCTACGACCAGGGTGAGTTCGAGGTGGAGGTGTCCACGCAGACGGATCCTTTGCCCGATGACTTTGTGTGCGAGGAGTTCGAGATCACGGAGGACATGAAGATCATCGAACCGCGACGCTCCAATGGATCGGGTAACAAAACCCTCGAGGACCTTTTGCGCAGCGTGGAGGCAGCTCAGCAGCAGGCGGACGAAGTGGACGGATCCCGAGTTCTCTCCGAGGACGAGCAGCTGGCCAAGGGTCTGCAGAGATTCCGGGACGCCAACCAGCGCAGCATGTCCGAGCGATCTCGCGCTTCCTCTCAAGCGGATCGCTCCAAGTCGCTGAGTCGCCCGCAGACTCCTTCGTCGGCGGTGATCATCGAACGACGTGTGCCCACGCCCAGTCTCATTGCTGGTGAGGATGATGCCACGGTGCAGGCTTCGCTGATTGTGAGACCCATCAGTGCCGCCGATTTGATAGACGACGATCTGCGCCGGGAGGAGGAGGAACTGCGTCGCGAGGGCTTGCTCTCGGACAGCTCGGTACAGAGTAAATCCGATGTGGAGGATGAACACGGCGAGGTGGCCTTGAGTGACTATGCTGCCAGCTCGGCGGATTTGGATGCGGCGGTGGAGCAACTACAGCAGGCTCAGCTGGAGAGCGATTTCGAGAGCCGGCTGGAGGATGATGAAGTGGAGCGCACGCTCAGGGACAGCGAGTACGAAGAGGAGAAATATTCGGAGCATGAAGAAGAGCAGGAAATAGCGCAGCTGAAGGAGGCTCTGGAAAAAGAGCTAAAGGAATCCTTGGAAAAGAAGCTGTCTGACTACCGCCAGAAGGAGAGGGACCTTGAGCAAGAACAAGAGCAGGAGCAAACCTTTTCGGAAGAGGAACTGGCTGCCTCTGAGATCGATTACCACCAATCCGAGGAAGAGCAGGCCACCTCCGAGGTGGATTACCACGATTCCGAAGATGAGCATCCGTTGTCCGAGGGAGAACAGCCTCTTTCCGAGGAGGAGCACACCCTCTCCGACACGGAACAGCCCCAGTCTGAGTCCGAACTTCCGGCAGTTGAGGAACCAATTCAGAAATCCACCGCTAGCGAACCCACCGAGGCCGAAGTGGAGCTTAAGTTTGTTGCCACTTTGCCCACAGAACCCGCTTTTGGAGACCAGGAGGAGGAGGAATTGACGGAGGCACCTTTGCCACCACCACGCCGCAAGTCCACCACCGCCATTGAACCCATTGCCACCACTGTGCTGGCCATTGCTGAGCAGTCCAGCCGCGAGCTTACTCCCGTGCAAACAGTGCAATCCCCGCCAGAGCCACAGTTCCCCAGTCATCTGGCGGAACTGGAGGTAGAACGATTGCGAGTCCATGCCCTGCAGGCTGGCCAGATCCAAGTGTCCCAGCTACATGGCAGTCAAATCAAAGCTGACGATCTGGAGTGCAAATCCGGGCAGTTGGTTGTGCAAAATATCGAACTGCCGCCTGGATTCATTGACGACATTGTGGAGCGGGTACGGGAACAGCGTCCTTCCCTGCTGACCACTGAAACCCAGACCAGTCGGCAGGCCAGCAGCGAACCAGCCTCCTCTGAGAAGGAGCTGCCTGTGAAGCCACCACGTCATAGCAAGACCACCGAGCAATCGACACCGATCGCTAATCTGGATGAGCAGACCCAGACAGAAGCGGGTCTGTTGCCACTGCCTCCACCACCGGCGGCTTATCCCAGTGTCGAGTACCTCCAGTCGCTGGCTCCACTGGCCTTCTACAATCTCCAGCGCAGCGCGGAGGCGGAGCAGGCGGAGGCCTTATCACCATCCGAGCGAAAGGCACCACACAAGTGTCGACGTCGTCATGTCCAGGAGCACATCGAACCCGAATCGGGCTCCGACTTGGAGGAGCAACTGGTGGAGCGACCACGATCGCGATCACGTCGCTCTCGCACCCGAAGTGCCACCCAGCCCTTGGAGGAGGATTACGACGAGGATCAGCCCAGGACGGTGGTCCAGGCTGGCCGGCAGTTCATCTCCGCCTGCAGTCTGGAACTCGTGAACATAATCAACCAGCTGACGCACTACGTTCGCGGCGAAGCAGTGGAGCCACAGCAGGCGCCACGTAACGTATCCGCACTAATGGTCCTCTTCATCCTGATTACCTTCGGAGTACTGGTATTCCTGCTAACCGGGAGACAGGTGCACACACACCATTGGGATTACTTTAATCCGCCCGGAAACGAGCACGGCCGGCAGACGTGAGGGGCTGTGGGGGGTCCCATCCTGGTTTTGCTATCCTTTGGGGCGGTTTTGCATTTTGGAGCATCGAATCTAGCCAAGCATCTTGGCGGGGAGGAGAAACGAATTTAAACGCGGCCAGGTGTCCGCTCGAAACTTGAAGGCCTTAATGATACTAACGAGAAATTACTTTAGGAAAGGTGCGCCGTGCATTTTGGGGCGGCGATGGACGAGATGGGCAAAGGGCAAGGGGCGTGCCCGTGCTACTAGTCACACAAAACAATCGAAACCAGAATCCCAGTTCAATGATCCATCATCAGACACATACCGACATCTAACTTGTACTAACCAGAGAAACATAGAGGGAACATTTTCAACATTGTCTACCAACGATATAGAGATCTATATGAAATCAGCAGAGCAACAGAAGCAACGACCATGTATTAACTATGTACTTAGACGTTTTCAGTTTCATGCCAAGGAGGAGCGAGGACCACTAATCCAATAAACACTTATTTTGTTTGCTCATTTTTTCTACCACATAAGGCAAAACGAGAGATTCAATTGTTGAACAAATTGTTGTTTAATTTAGATCAAAATGTAGGAATTAATATACAAAACATACACTCTTTTTCATTGAATTCATTTGAACGTTATAATTTGAAATGCGAGTACTTAGCCAGAAAGTGAACATATATACATAAATATATAGAAGCGTATTTTCAATAAAGCAAAATGATATAAAATAATTGGAAATGTCTTTCATTGCCAATGTGTAAGAGGATAGCTAAATATATAAACTAAGTATTCAAGATATGGGATCTTTACAACAAGAAATCCTCATCGTATTGGACCATCTCGCGGTGGTCCTTGTGGCTGCCCTTTTGGGACTTGCTGGCAGCTAAAAGGTGGAATATTTGGGGTGTGATTGCTGGTTTATGTCATCAAACTATAAACTTACCAATGGAGGACCACACTGCGGACGAAGAGGCGTCGTTGATCGGCTCAATTTGGGGTTGACGTCTAGCCAGCTGCACCTGCAAATTGATGCCATTCACATTCTTGCCATGCATTTCCGCAATTGCCCGATCTGCGGACTCGGGCTTGGCGAAAGATACAAAGCCGCGACTGGAAAGGAGTTGAAGGTGTGGTTAGAATTAGGTTGATTGTAAGTAATTATATAGGAATATTCTGTACTTCTTCAACTATTACATGTGCAGGAGTATGTAAATAAGGTAGATCATAGATAGATCTATCATGTGAGCTAAAATAACTTCAAATATCTTTACCTCTTTTCAATCTCCATGGAAACGTTGACAATAGTGCCGTAGTCGTTGAAGGTCTTCTTTAGGAAATCCTCGGTGACCTTGTTGCCGGACACGAAGATAGTGTTTCCGGCCCGAGGTTTCTCCGGCTGGGCCGTGTCCATGGGCACCTTTTCGGGCATGCCACGCTCCTCGCGATCCCGCTCGGTGGCAAAGTGCTGATAGAGATTCTGGCGTCGCGGCTCCTCCTTGATGATCTCGCTGATGATCGTCTCCTGGGCCACGTCGTTCTGGGTGGACGAGAAGGGTTGGTAGGAGGCGACACTGGTCTCCGAGGTCGATCGCTTGGCCCTCTCCTGGCCCTTGGGCCGTTTAAAGGAGGTCTGATCCTGTTTGGTCTGCTTCTGGATGGCGGGAATGGCTCCGCTTTTGATCAGTTTCCTGGCAACCTCGCGGGCATCCCGCGCATCCGTGGGACGCTTCAGGGTCAGGGAGCTCTCCGGCTCCGGCTTGGGCGCCTTGTGCGCCTGCAGGGCCTTTTTCTAATAAATTATAAAACATTTAAGCAAAGACAAATAGTTTTTTAGTGTTTTTTCTCACCTTCTTCTTCAGTTTTTGGTACTTGGCCTGGAGCATTTGCTCCTCTTCTGTTAAATTGCTGGGGAAGTGTATGTAAACCATTTCGGGCAAGGTATACTACTACTCCAGCTAACAACAAGTAATTTAGCACTAGGAAATGAATTTATTTTTTAATATTTTGTTTATTTCCGCGGCTGCTGTTGTTGATAATATACCATCTACCTGTAAAAATAAAATACCTACTTTATTTTTTCAAAAATACCGAAATTGCGTCTTTAGTAAGACTTCAAACGCCAGATTTAAAAATACCACCTCAATTGTTTTCAGTCTATGGCCCTACTAGTTTGTGCTTTACAACACTGTCCGAAATGCAACCCTACAACGCCATGTTCCCTCTGTGCTGTCAAAAAAATTCTTTCCTTCTCTTTCTTTCCGGTTAGCGTCATGGTAAGAATCGACGAAGGTTTCTGCAGTTCGGTTGAAAAATGTGAAAATTAAGCGGTCCCAGGGACCCGAGATGAATTAAGCCTGGCGGCCAAGCGAACGGGTCAGTGCGTTGAACGTGTGCAAAGAGAAAACAAATCAGAGACCATGAAATCCCGTGTGGAATCGGCCTTTCCAATAATTCACGTGGTGGACGAGACACCAACACAAGCAACGCGCTGGCCATGCAGCACCTGAAATTAACAATTTCGAGCCACTTTTAATGGGCATTTCTCTGCTTGCAGCCTTTCGAGAGATTCGTACAAACTGGTCGCATTGCCAAGGCCTCCGCAGGTCCCCTTAAGGGGCGCCTGGTGGCCATCGTCGACGTCATCGACCAAAACAGAGTAAGTGCATCATTTCCTGACGAGAAGGGAGTTTCAGCAACAAATCGCCGAATGTCGAGCTCTTGCACATGATGATAATTTGTCTTCTTGATAGGAAGTGCCAACTGACACATAAATGAAGCTAGTTTAACCCACTGAAAGCAAGCAAGCAGGCATGGCGTTTGTTGCTGTGTCGCCTTAACCTTTAATGTATGAAACACCATAACTTATACCTGGTTTTCTTTGCTCTACAGGTTCTGGTCGATGGTCCTCTGACCGGCGTGCCCCGTCAGGAATACAGATTGAACAATCTGCATCTGACCAAGTACCGCATCAAGTTCCCCTACACCGCGCCCACGCGCATCGTGCGCAAGGCCTGGACAGAGAGCGACCTGAAGGCCCAGTGGAAGGTCAGCCCCTGGTCCGTCAAGGCACAGAACATCTGCAAGGTATGTACGGAGTCCAGGAGCAGGAGTTCTAATTTTAGGAGAGATGGAGGTCTAGGCAGAGAAGGAAATGTACACAAAAATCTGAAATTTCGTATAGTAGCATCAAATATAGCCTTTAAAATAACTCTTATCTGTGGAATATCATCGTAGTACTATATTATTGTAATTGTGTAATCGCGTCATATTTGTTTGCATTATTTTTTTTATTTTACCACCTCAAAAGACACGTGTAACGGTCTATTAAGGTTTCTTAAATCATAATAGCTAATTTCAAATGTTAAAAAGCCTTAACTCCTCTATTTTTAGTAATTTAAATGTAAATATTTGTGTTTTTTTTTAAGCAAAGTCATAGTGAAGATGATACAAATGTGATACTACTTTAATTTTTGACAATTATTTTTTGATTATTATTAAGATTACTTCTCGTGCTAGCGATACATAGTCTTCTCTGCTTAGTTGCTTACCTCCTTGAACTGCACATGATGATAGTTGAAAGTTCTTGATAGGAATTGCCGGCTGACACATAAATGAAGCCAATTTTATTTTATCTGAATACAATACTAGCTAGTTATGTTGCAAATACTACTGGAATAATGGTACTAATCCACAATGTATTCCCTTGCAGCGCTCCTCGTTGAACGACTTTGACCGCTTCAAGCTGCGTTATGCTAAGCGCCAGCGCAACAAGCTGCTGACCATCGCCTTCAACACACTGAAGAAGCGCACCAAGGCTGACGGCACTCCCCGCGTCCTGAAGAAGGATCGTCGCGAGCGTCTGCGTGCCGAGAAGGCCAAGGGTGGCAAGAAGGCCGCGGCCAAGAAGTAAAAACACTACCTTTAACGAAAGTAACTGCTTGATGAACATCCACCACCATGGAAAAAATAAAAGAAAGTGTTATTTTTAGGAAAAACACACGCACACAGCCCCCTTTTCTATTGGGTTTAACAGTTTTATTTGCTCTCAAGAAACAAAATGATCTTAAAACAGTCCAATCTTTAAAGCACAGTCTACCAAATGAAAAACAAACTAGGCCCCCGCTCAAGGGGGGCATTTGCCATAGATGGTCTTCCAGTTGTTGGGATGGTTGTAGCCCAGCAGGATGGGCAAGTGCAGGAACAGCGTGATATGTTCGCTTTGTATCGATGTGGACACCTTGACCCACTTACGCAGCCACTCGATCATGACTTCGCTGCTGAGGCTGTCGGGATTCAATCCGCGCAGATAGCAGGAGTAGCGCAGAGCCTCCGGAGTCAAGTTGTGGACGCCTCCCTCGCGGGTTATGGCCTGGTCCATGTAGTGGACCAGAAAGGCGTGCTCGTGAAGGCGATGTCGCTTGAAGATGCTGCTGGGCAGGCCATGAAGGTTGACTAGGTTTCTCTACAAATAAGCGGATTAGGCATAGGCATCCTCCATTTGTCTTATTAAACCTACAACATGCTTCCTTGACATCCCCAGCAGGGAGTAGGGTCCATCGGCGAATATGTCCTTGACATCGATGAGCATCTCTGGCGTGGGGTGGGTGCCGCTGCCCAGCTGTCCCAGGATATCAGCGAAAGCCAAGTGCTTGGGATGAGCGGCGGTCGCTTTGAGCTTGGCCTGCAGGCAGCGAAAGACGTCCTTGTTGTTGCACAGTCGCCGCTTCATGTAGTAGCTCAGGAACTCGGAGCGCTGCTGCGAAGTCCAGAAGTGGGCAGTGAGAAAGGAGCGGGGGTAATAGAAGCTAAGGAAGATCAGTCCAGATTAGCCAGGATCATTAGCAAATGGATAACAACTTACACGAGAGGAAAGAATGCATAGCCCACCATGGGCAGGGAGCAGCCAATTAAAGCCGGGGCCACCTTCATCATGTCCCGCGGCATCTGCATGTACAGCTCCAGCTCCTGACGATTCAGGGCTCTGATTCCCTGGGGCGAATCATTGGCTATGCGGGCAATCTTCAGGAAGCGCTTCATGTCGCCAAAAAAGTCCTTGACACCATCGAAGAACACCCGGTACAGCTGCATGGCCTTCGGGAAGTTCTTTTCGAGCACTTTGTCATAGTTCTTGACATAGTTGAAGTAGCGGGTGAATATGTAGTCCTGCATATTGTCCCGCATCTGATCCCTTTTGGATTTCACGGTGTCCAGCTCCTTGCGCTTCTCGTCCTCGGGCGCTCCTTGCGCCGGCTGCTGTGAGGAGGAGCTGCTGGGCTTCTGGACCTTTGGCTTATCGGTCGGCTTGTTGGCATCCCAGCCCGTTTCGTAAATGACCTTGCCCACGCTGGTTATCTCGGCGGCCACATTTCGCTTGATTTGAGCCGGCGGGGTCGCGGCTTCGGGCTTTGTTGCGTAGTTTCTGCTATCACTGGGTAATTGAATTGTAATTGATTGATTGCGAATTGGGGTCAGGCTTTCGTTCTCGTTCTCACCTGCTGCACAGGTGTAACAGTGGCCGGCGATCCCGGGGCCAGCAGTTGGCCGGAACCGAGGCCAATCGGGCCACGCGCAACGCCAACGCCATTCTGGAAGTGCAAGTGCCAGCCAGAAACCAGGAAGAAGCGCCTTGTTACGCAACCGCCGACTCCAATGCAGGAGTTGCTGGCCCACAAAAATAAAAAATCAAAACCAATTGAAGCGATTCCGATTTACTTCTTTCGAACAGCTGTTGCCTAGAGGTGGCCAAACATCGATGTTTCGCAGGGCATGTTCTTTCTATAAATATGGTTCGAGTCCTTACTAACTATCGGTAACAAGGTTCGAGCCCTAGATTGCGTTATTATTAGAGAATTCAATTGGGTCCTGATTAACAGCTGACCAAAATTCAACAGTTTAGGGAATACCCTATCTATCTCCCTTTTTTACTGACACTTACGGTGGCTTACGTTTTGCTGACACTTACGTTTTGTTTTCACGTTTAGCATTCGGATTTCAAACTGAAAAGAACTCGTGCGGTGCGAAAGCATAAAAAGGGGAGTCCCAGCACAAGCGGGCACAGTCGAGTTCTGAAAATTGTTCAAGAAAGTTTAACTTTTACTTGTGTTCGGAAGAAAGAATAAGTCGTGCAACCATGAGTCCCCAGAATAAAATCAAAGACATTTTGAAGAACTTGCAAATTTCTGACGAAGATCGTTGTGTGTACACGATGGACGCTATAGATATTCAAAACCAAGTGATTGAGAAGCTAAAAAAGGAGGACTCAACTTTTCGAAGTGCCTTTGACGGCCTGAGCCTAACTGGTATGTTTAGTATAAGCCTGTAAATATTTATATTTCTATCTATAATTTTCAATTAACCCCATCAGGAAGTTACTTGGATCGCGTCAAGTTGAAGACTCCCGATGAATTTGATTTGCACATGAAGCTCAAGTTCCCATTCCAAATCACCCCGGAACGAGATGAAAATGGGTTTGTCTTCCTGTATGCACCTGGAGGAAATCATTCGACGATCGTGTCTGGTGGCTATATTTGTCGCCAGGATCTTCAGGGCTGGTTGCGTGGTATCTTCAAGAAGGTGTTCAATCCAACTCTGTGCCTTCAAAGTAGCAGGACTTACAATACGTATACTGTGTCGTATACAATGGAGGGATACGGCTGCGCCCATTCGATTGAGGCCAAGTGTGGAAATCGCATTATATCCTTCGATCTAGTGCCGGCTTTCGAGTTTACAAATTCTCAGTGGCCGTTGGCTAATCCACCGGTTTCGTATCAGGTGCGTAGCGAACATCCCTGGTTCGCCATTCCGCAAAAGAAATCGAGGAGCTCCGACGATCGCACTTTTATGGTTTGTGCCCCCCACTGGGAACGCGAAATGATGAAGGGCTCTTACAATATGAAGAACGTATTGCGCCTCATGAAGGGATTACGCGATGCTAATTGCACCGATTTCCCGCATTTGTCCAGTTACATGCTGAAAACCGTGCTCCTTCATGAACTCAAAAGTGTTAACTGGCAACGCGACGAAGGTCCTTTGTTGGTGGAGATGTGGGGTAAATTGCTACTTCGCCTCAATGCTGGCAGACTGGATTTCTTCTTAGCCGACGGCCACAATATATTTGATCGCCTAAACGAACGAGAACTAAGTACCTGTCGCCATAACGCTAAAATTACTTACGAAAAATTACAACAATACTACTCCTATAACAACGGTTCTCAGTTGTATAAGCTTTTTGAAAAGAACTAATCATCTATATGCACTTTATAACACCAAAATGTTTTTCTTTATTTCAACAAGAAGCATGTGTATTTTATCGTATTTGGTTCTATTTCAATAAAAAGTATACTTATGTACGAGTATATACCCTGATAAAAATATTTCCAGCGTTCGCGTATTTTGTCTTTCTAGAAGGAATTGTGTGCAGATAAGGGAAAACTGATGAATCAAGCAAAATCAGCAAAAGTCTCTTAAAAAGTCTTTGGAGCAGTGCGGACCTAGAATTTGGTTCTTGGGCGTCAAAAAAAAAATATTGTTGCAAGCGTTAAAGATTCGAAAATTGTTCTTACATTTTTCACCACAAGGGGGGTTTTGACCGCCCAAATCGCCAACGTGGATCCGCTTATGCTGTGGTGTCTGTGTCTTGTTCGTTTATTGCGTAATTTAATAATACCGAAAGAGAAGGGTCCATGCAATAAACTGAAGAAATAAACTAAAGGGTCTGGTTTATTTTGTCTTTCCGGTGCAGATAAGAAAAAAGTGCTGAATCAAACAATAGCAATATTTATACTTCCAATGATCCTCAGTGGTGTATTTACTGTTTGTTTACTGAGTTATTTAATAGTACCGAGAAGGGATTAGTCTGATAATAAACTATCTTTTATGATTTCAAGTTGCCTTTGCCTATGCTTGGGCCCTGTTATTCATAACCAAGTTTTGCATTGATATATTCTAAATTCTCCTATTCTTTCTACTACACTAGTTTACAGCCAAAAAAAGTTCATCTTTAAAACCACTTTTTCTAGACTAATATGTCTTTCCTGTGTTCAGGTATTATGCAAAATTGTTTTCAAAGAATCGTTTTTGCTCGATTTAAGAGCTAATATTACAGAATCCAATTATCTAATCGATTGACAGTTGATACAATTCTGGATATACGCGTTACTCGTAGAGTAATGGGAATACTAAATTCGACGAAAGATATGTAACAGGTAGAAGATAGCGACCCCATAAAGTGTATATATTCTGATTCCTCGAAAACTATAAAAGCTAGAGTTTTGGCATGCAGATTCCAGAGATTCTTGAAAATCGCAAGTGTATTGTTTGTGTATTTGTGCTGGGACTCCCCTTTTTACTATCCTCGGTCTGTTAAATAACAGCACTTGATGACAAAAGTTCTGTTACTTACTACCCAAAATGGATTTTCCAGAAGCTTTGTTTGAATTTTATAAAAATGTTTCGCAACAAAACAACTTGATAATATACCTAACCGGAACTTGAAACCATAAACCGTTAAGTGTTTTAAATGTATTCGTTTTATTTAGTATGATATGGCTTTTTTTTTTAAATATGTATGTATGTACTGGACATATTTGATCTTGTGGCAGAGAAAATTTCCTCTGTCTCTGTTAGAAAACGTTGCATCTTAACATTTCTGTTAGAAAAGTTGTTGGTGCTACCGGATCGGGAAAAATATAACTCATATCCATGAAAGAGGAACATGGCGCCTCAATTCAAAAGTGTTGAACTTATATTAGGTTTATTAAAATTGACAGAACATAGAAGGACGAAAAAGGATAATAGAAAAAAAGGATGTATATTTTGTAATTTTTCAATAAGCTATAGGTACTATTTTTACTTTAAGTGTTGCTTTTTGAAAAAAATTTGATTTCAGAGAAATCGTAATAATAAATATAGTAAGGGATATTCTTTTATTTTAGGAACATGAATGATTAAGATATATTAGTAATCACTAATAAATATTTACTAATCCAAGTTTGTGTTTTATACGATTTTGACAAACATGAAGGCATTCAAAAATTTGGCGCCTTTGCAACGCAGCAAGCAGTTGCGCACTGTTTTTCGGAGAGAGGCTTTCTCCCAGCTTGCAGCAGAAATTGTGCTGCTGCTGCGGGAGAAGAGAAAGTTAATTTCAGTCCACTCGGAGTCGTCTGTTGCGTCGGTTGCTCGAGTCCCTTCCGTTTGCCAAAAAAGAAAAGCGCGGCGGCTGGTGCGTTTGTTTTCGCCTCGTAGATGCTGGCTGCAATCGAGCACAACAAAAGCTGCGGTGGCAGCAATAAAAACGAGGAGCGAAATTAAGCGGAGGCGCTGGAAACAAAAAAAAAAAACTAACGAAATCGTAACTAATCACCAGGCCATCAATGGCGGCCACTTTTGGCCATTTTGTGGCATAAGCGGAAACGGAAATGTGCGTTAGTTGTTTGGCAGGGGCAAGTGTATAAATGGGGGGCGGGGCAGGAAATGGGGGCGGTGAGACCTTCAGCGGGAAATTGTAAAACTTAGCGCGTGTCCAACTTGCTTGACTTCCCACTTGTGTCAGCGTTGGGAAAGCGGAAAAAGGCGGACAAAGTTACCCGCAAGACACTCTCTAATGTCTCTTTCTAAGCACGTGTGTGTGTGTGTAAGTGCTTGTGGTGTACATAACAGTGCGTGTGTGTACGCGTGTTTTTTTCCGCTTAGCTACTGGGCGATTTATTCATCAGCCACAGGATATGGAATATAGCTTATATATTTGTATATATGCACCTATAGCCAGCTGGAAAAGCTTCAGTTACACTATTGACACTGGCACAAAACCATTTGTTTGTCCGCCCCCTCATAAAAATAGAACCAACTGAACGCCATGAATAGGACCGCCAAAGTGCCTGGTGGCTAGGTTTAATTGAAAAAACGTCAATATTCCTTCAGGCGACCACCCGTTGAGTTCTCGTCTTCATCGCCTCCCCCATCAGAAAAAGTCCTTGGCCAAACTCTGACGAAGTTCAAGGTGCCCATGCTGCCCATATTAAGTCAATTCCCACGACCTATACACCTCCACCTCCGTCGATGCTCTCTGGGATTACATAAAGTGCCAATCTTTCGAAACAGAATGCGTTATTCATTATGGAGATTTCCCCTTGCTGGCAGTCAATTCAATATGGATTCGGGTTTATTGAATTGCCCGGCTATGAGTTGCACTTTATGAATATTTAAGGTTAATACATTTCCATTTTGCCGGGCCATGGGGAAAACAATTTCGTCGGATTACACAGCAGAATCTTTGGTATGGGCAGACATTAGAAAAAACGAGAGCAGAAATGTCCTGCAGATGATATCATAGTGCTTCAGCTTTAAACTGCTTAGTTTTTTGGCTTAGGGCAGAAAAATATGCAAAATAAGCAGCTTGGAAATGAGACTTTAAGTAAAATAGGTTTATTTAATTGTATAATTATTAAAAAATTTTAATTTAAAGGTATGTAATTTTTATGATACTGAGATATTCATTTTGATTGGAACTTAGTCAAATAAAACTTATGTTTCGGAACTAAAAATAGATTTTCAATCCAAAACCAAAAATGCCAGATAAAGAGATATCAAAGAATAAATGACCACTTTAGGCACTTGTTCTGTCGGAAGCAGCAAACGTGATACCACTACCAATTATTGGGGTAAACTGCATGTTGATGCAGTAAGTGGTGGTCGGAATGGTATAATTAAATTAGGTTTTGTCGCTAGCAGGCAAAGTCAAACACTATTAAATGCGAGCGACATCCGGCAGGCAATCAATAATGTCAACACAAACTGAAAATCGCGGCAGATGCCTAATTGCCACTGTCACTTTGAGGTCACTTTTCGGAATTCCGAAACTATGACAACAATTAGCATAAACGGCAAAACAGGCAGTCGGGGTAAATGGTATATCGCACAGCCCAGCAGGGCAATTTCCAGCTTGCTAAATGAAAATTTTAGTTCCTCCGCTCTGCCGTTGCCATAAAGTTAATCATACGCACCGTTGAACCGCAGCCAATTCCATTACATGGCTGCAATTTCAGTGCCAAGAGCACTTGCAAACACGAGCTGCACACCCACAGCCCACAGGAAAACAAATACTTTCAGCGGAAAATGGTAGTCGCGCGCGGAAAATCGAGAATCGTCTTGGCCCGACCGTGAAATGTTTTGTAATAGTTTTAGGGTTATATTCACTTTGGTTTGGATTTTCTATTCCCATGCAGAACACATGTAAGTGCCAGGGAGAAGGTGTGAAAGTAGCGCTTCAAAGGGGTTTGACCCATTTCTGGTACTTTTACACTTTAATTACTTTGAACTTTTAAGGTTTACATGTACACAGACAAATCAGGTTCAGTTGATATTTTTACCATTGAATAATGTTAAAGAGCAAAAATAAAAAAGCATTTAAATGGGGCTTAAAGTTAAAAAATATCTTAGACTAAACAACACGAAGCAAACTTTTAAGATCGATCAATAAATTTTATTTAAAGAGCTTAGGTCGACGACTTTTTTAGACATCACATAAAGAGTTTTCTAACTTTCCATTAATTTGTTTTACCTATCAAGTTTACCAATAATGCATCAAAAGACATCATCTCAAAACGGGTCCACTCTGAAACGTGACAAAATGTTCAAAGTCATGAGTTTCAAGGTCGGAAATAAAAGTTTCTTGGCTGCCTTTTTTTGGCAAATCTTTCCACTTTATGTGCAAAGTCCATATGTCAAAATATATTAGCTTCAAACCCTTCGAAATTTGGCTTTTCTTGCTCAATTGTGGAGAAAAAGCCATCGCAGTTGGCATTCCTTAATGCCCACAAGAAGGTGGCGACAATGGCAAACGACGCTGGCGAAGAATGCAAAGCACGCGAAAATGCGTTTAAAAGTGGGCACAGCTTGGGGAAAAACTATTTGTGGGGGTGGTAAGACGGGATCCTGGTCCTTGTCGTATATGCATTCACTCCTGAGCTTTGCTCTACACCCACACACACAGACCACCGCCCTGGGAAAACAACAAACAACTGCAGTGAGTTGCGGTGAGTGTGAGTGACAGCCTGGCAGACACCTTGTCAATGTCTTGCGGCTACGAGTAACCCCTGTCCGCCCGGATTCCCATTCCCAGTACCGCACTCCGGAGACTCTGCCACGCGTTGCCAAGCAATGTTAAGTACACTGAAAGAAAGAAACCTCCCAAGTTTTTTTGACTCAGGATAAATATATAGAGGACTTCCGTGACCAAAATCTACCATACTACAAAAAAAAATGGGAGTTACGAAGACTTCTAGTTATATAATACTTTTTATAATAATTTATTTTAATCTAACTCTCTATTGCCAGTAAAACTAATTAGATTTATAGAGACTTTGAGTTTCAGAATACATTTTTTTTATAAAACTAGTTCGACTTATAGAGACTTAGAGTTAGGTAAGTTCGAGCTAAGGAAATGAAACTATATTCACATACCAACAAAGAATTATTCAATAGGATTTTTAATAAGTATTTATTGCTTAAAAACTAGGTCTCATCTTCAAGAATTTTTAAATAAATAATTTTTAAAGAATTTTTAAATAATAGGGCAAGTTTGTATTATAACGTTTATAATATCACATCCATAATATGTCTTCTAAAACCTTCAATAGTTATCTACACAATATTCCCTTGTGTAAAGACAGTGTTATATACAAAACTAAGACAAAACCAAGTTTCTTAGGTTATCTTTGGTAAGAAAATATTTGTTTTTACATTTTTAAAGTGTAATAATACCTTTCATAAAGAATAACAAGACTTTGTCATACTTAGGCTTACCAACAAAAGAGCCTTACTGGCATAGGTAAACTCTTTAATTTGATCAAGTATAGAAAGATAATATTTTTTTTTGGTGTAAATATAACTCAAAGGAACCCAAACAACAGCAACAATGACAACAGGCGGGGAGCAAGCCAAGTGGCAACAACACAGCTGACTGACTACACATTTGCATACACCAAGGTGTACATTTTCTTTTTTTTTTTGAGCAGGTGGCACAAGTTTAACACGGTTGCCGCTTTTGTTTTTGGGCCTTGAATGCGCCGCGGGTGTTGCTTTAATGAATGTGCAATGCTGATGCATTTCTTTGGCAAAATGCGAGGAACAAAAAGTGTTGCATACATTTGAGGGCCCCGAGGAATTTCCTGCGAATGGGATTAGCTTGACTTGTGGGCTCGACATCGCCAATTAGCGAAAAGCAAGGTCCAATTTGCATTTTCTTACTTTTCTAGTTTTCACGGGTTTTGAAATGTCACAAACGATTGCAATTATATACTCGCAAGGCACACAAAATATATTGGTAATCCTTTCACGGTGAATGTGCAAACGCCATGCAAAATTCATTAATTCATTTTAGAATTTTATGTAGTAGAACTAATTCCTCCACTCGGTTTTTAATTGGGCGGTAAATAGTGGTTTTGTAATCAACTAAAAATTAATTTAAAATGCAGATTATAACACGTTGAGCAAAAGTCGCGGAATTCGATAGAAACTTTTCGGCGGTTAAAAGTTTTGACAGCTGTCATAAACTTTCTTTTCCACTTAAATCATTAAGAAGTCGCAACTAAGAGAATAAATGCAATTTGAATGACTTTATAAAAACGAATAAATGCAAGCGAACTTTTTAATTGCACTATAGTAAAATTATTTTCATTAAAAGTTAAAACTTATGTTAGTTTAAAACTATTTTAAATCATGGGTTATCTATTAAAAGTCCCATTAAGATGTTTTTACTCAAGTGTGTCAATTAAAATATGCAATTAAGCATAAGTCAATCAAATGAAAAAGCAATTCAGATGAAATGATTAAAATGTCTGATAATTCATAACATGTTTATTTAATTGAGTTGCAATTAAAGAGCGAAACAACCAGAAAACCACATCACAATCAACACATTTCAACGGGCATTTCAAACGCAGCTAATCCGTCGACATGTTGGACAGCCTCCCCAGACCACAGACCCCGTATCCCTTAAAATAAACCCGTCTGAAAATCGATTCCCTGTGGCTCTCCAACCAGAAGCACTATAAATTGTAGCGTACTTGTGTGGACCAGATTTGCAGACTGCATCATAGATAACCATTTCGGTCTGTTAATTATTTATGCAGGCTGGAAATGTGGCCCCGTCCAAGGATCATTGAAGGGCCAAGTGTGTGGATATTTGGATAGTCGAGGGCCTAAAGCGAGAGCAGTGCAAATGCAGTCAGGCCCAAGAGGCAAATAAAGACTCAAGAAGTTAAACCAGCCAGCTCGAGCATGTGCCATATAAACCATTTCAGCACACACTTATGGCCAGGATCAGGGGCCTAAGCAGGATTTCTTTCAAGGGGTGAAAAGGATTTACCCTTAGGTTTGATTAATTCTTTACTAGGTAAACACATTTGATGTTCAACAAGTTTAGAGGGACTTTCGATAAGAAGCTTTCAGCATAATTCGATTAGGCTTTTGATTGGATATTCAACGCCCAAGAACACTAAGCTCTCTAATTAAGTTGTTGAATTTCTAATTAGTGTAACTTGATTAGGAGCTACACGCAAACAAATATGTTACCAAGCGGTATAGAACTTTAAAATTTTCGTACTTACATTTTAAAGTTAAATTTGTTCTTTAATATTTCTGTTTTAGATATGAAAATTGTAAGATAGAATTATATAGTAAGCACAAAAATTTTTATCCTGTGAATTTTAATTTAAATTATTTATGAAAACGCTTTGAACCTAATATAAAATATAATATATTTTAGAAAGGTGGTTCGATTTAGTTCTTCAATCAATCTTATTTGGTACCTTATAAAAGCTCAATATTCCTCTAAGGTTTTCAAAGTCAAGTATTTGGTGTTTACTCTTTTAAATCAAGAATTCGCATATTCTAATTAAGTAAAATGTAAGATATTCTATGGTACTTCATTTAAGTGAAGAGTTTTCTGCTTTTGTATATTTAACAAAAGGATTTTGGATTAAGCTTCCAGTGGTAATCTTATTATGAAATAGTTTTTCTTTCATTTTTTGTTATTTTTTGTGATAGGACTTACCCCATTCTCCACAACCATGTCCAGAATAGCATGTTGCTCTAGTCTCCGTTTTGCCAACGATTTGCCGGCTCAATTCACACAGACTCGCAAAAACGGCTTGAGATTGTTGCCATGTCGAGGTGGTTTCGCTCAAATCTATTTAAATAGCATGGTGGATAGGGGGAAAAGTGCGGGCTTCTGCGGGGGAGAAGGATGCTCTTTGCGTGCCGCTGAGCGTGGGAAATTGAATTATGTTTTCATTTAGCAAATAACTTGCAGCTGCCATAGCATATACAAATTGCATTATTTATTGCACTTTGCAGAGGCGACCCCAAATAAACAATCATCACATAAATACGTAATCAACAAGCGGCCCCAAAAAAAGAGGCTCCTTGGCTGGCAGCCAACGGCAAACCACCCACCAGGCCCCACCACCCACTGAACCACCCACTCAGCCACCCACCCACCGCAGCATGTAAAGCTCTGTGGGCGGGGGGAGTGGCACAGACACTTTTGGAGGAGGAGGTGTGAGTGAAGCGATGTGAAGGCAAAACATTTTGTAATATTAAAGAACAGACAGCAGGAGGAGGACGAGCACCTGTTGCCGACCCGTCCACAAAAGACTGGACTACACTGGACTGGACTGGGCGAAAGTGTGCGGTGAAAGGCCAGGTGAAAGGTGAAAGTAGTAAGCTGAGAGCAGCAAAAGCACCGCAACAATGGCCGTAAATGTACTGGACTACGATCACTTCGCCATCAGCGCCATCGTGGTAGGCTCTTTGCAGCTGGTCTTCTTCCTGATCAACTCCATTCTCCAGATGGACAAGCTGACGGACTTTGCCGGCGGGGTGAACTTCATCATCATCTCCCTGCTGACCTTCTTCCTCGGCCAAATCGATCGACCATCGAAGGTGAGTTGAATTTTAGGAACTACTATCCTATAACTATTTTAAACTTATAATAATAACTCATATTTCACTTTGAAATTACATTGAAATAATTCAATTCGTAAATATGTTTAATTTCCCTAAATAATTTGGTCAATCAATATACGGACCAGTTTTCAGATATGATAAATAAACCATCATAACCAGGGCTTACAATATGTTAAGTTAAAGCCATATGACACTTGCATAGAATTTTATGTTTTCCTTTTATTTTGTGGCTAGAAAGTATCTTATAGATACTATTAGATACATTTGATTAAAGTTGGATTACTGACTGAATTTTTTTAAAAAAAGTTATAGTAGTAACACGATAATGCATCCTTCTAAACTTAAGTTTATAAAGAGATGATGTGTCTTTAATATTTACTAGAAATACTCAATCATATATCTTTTAAATACAGTAAAGATATCAAAAAGGAATTGAAACACATTTTCTTTAAATTTAATTTTATTTAACAAAATAACAGAACTTTATAGATATATCATTTAGTGGGCAGACTAAAAATGGTAATAATAAACATTTTATTCAGACAGCCTTGGTTTAAAATTGGCTTTTCCCAATGCCAATAATAAATAATCATAAATCAGCAAACAGTTTTGTCAAACAAAATAAAACTCAATGAATTGCATTCATTTGAAAAACTCAAATATATCGCATCTGATATGCTAAAATAATGTATTGCTTTATTTGAAATTTAAACAATGCATAATTTATGAGCCATTTTGTTTAGTAGCTCGTTAGCTTTCACTGAACCATACTTTTTTTTCACAAAATTAAATTCTGTGAACTTGAAGCGTGACCATAAACATGTCGCCCAACTGGGCGTGAAGGGGCTGCTGCTGTAGTGGGTGGTTTTGGGTGGTTTTGGGTGCCGTGTGGTGGGTGGTGGTTGGGCGTTGGTGGTTTCGGCTGCTGACATTGAAAACTGAGTTTTGCATACGCACGCCGACACAGACACATACATTGACATTACAGACGCACACAGAGCCAAACATCCATTGCCGACAAACAAAAGGTTACGCCCACCGAGGCCCACAGCCCACATTTCAGCTGTTGTTTCTCGTTGTTTGCTGCTGTTCCATTTGTTGTTCTATCTGTAGTCAGTGTCTGTGTGAATGTGAATGTGGATGTGGATGTGTGCCTCCTTCTGGCTGAGCATGACCTTGGCATCGTGAGGGTCCTCAATCCGTCCGTCGGCGTGTCCTTCCGCCGGGCTATCATCCAACTGCCTAAGCAGCTAACTAACGCTATTTGCGGCAGCTTGAAAGCATATCAATCCACTCCAGAATTACACACAATTTATAATTAATTAATTGGACTTGATGGGTAAGCTCGTAGTTAAGCAGCGTGCTCTAAAGGAAAATGATGTTTACCTTAAACAGAGACTGACAGCCCATTACTAAGCCTATAATACGCTCAGGGGATAATCCATGCAGACACCATCTAACTTAAAAATAAAATTTTTTTCTGAAAGGGAAAACCATAAATAAGCATTTAAAATTAATTTAAAACTTAATTTTTTTGTAAATATTGTGTTAAAGACTTAAGTTATGGACCCCATACACTCATCTCGATATATCTTTAGTGCTGACACATTCCACCACAGGCTCTTTAAATATAATTAAAACTGAACGCTCATTTTCGATTCATTAACATCTCTTCAAGAGATTTTAATTAAGATTACCCTAATTATAAAGTGAAATATGGGACAATGAACGCAATATAAAGTGCCTTTATACATATGTTTCATTCAATTTTCGTTGTCATGCGCTATTGTCCTGTTTACTTATCTTAACTGCTGACCCCTGCTCACTTGAGGCTATTTTATTTTAATAAATAAAATGTATTATATTAAATGGAAATTTCCTTTCGTTAAAGCCCGTTAAAGCTTTGGTTTCAGTTGGCCAGTCTTAAACGCCACACAATGTATCGATTTACTGAATAGCCCATGAAAGCTTGTTAAGGGCTTATAGCGATTCGCCCCGGCACAACAGATACAAATTGAGAAATAAATTCTTTCCTAACTGCTGTCGGTTTTTGCTTGATAAAACCAATTCGTGTGCAAAACAAACAATCAAGGGAAAAATCTCTACGACCACACACATTTATGTGCTTTTAATTTGAGCATCCACACGTGTGCAAAGCAAACAAAGAAGTTGGAATCGAGATATTAATTCTCTTCGAATGTTCAATAAATCTTTGCTACCCACAATTCTGTGGCACTAACGAATTTGAATATCGATCGTAAATTAAAATTAAATTTCGTCCAGTTAGCAAACGCAAAGCCAAATTGGTTTTAAGTCGGAAAAGGAAAATGGCGGACGCAGGACGTCAGGCGGAAACGGAAGTGCTGCCACTGCTTGTGGCTGTTGTTGCTTGTACTGCAGTAGTGGTAGTACCAGTGCAGCAATGCAGCTGTGCGATGGCCATAAAAATGCTTTACTGCCGCTGTATGCAGTCGCCTGTCGATGGCTTATCGCCGTTCAGTCTCGCTTAATAAATCGAGCGATAAAATAGCTTAAGTCCCGGACTGAAAGCCAGCTCAATCAACTGACAAAATAGGCAATCAAGTCAGCCCAGCGATACGACAAACCCATTTGGCTATAAAGCGCCCTTCCCACAGCCCGTGACCTCGCCTTGGCTGGCGGTTACGGTCATGAGCCGCCTGCCTGTTCACTGCCATTGACAAAGCAATTTAACAATTTTTCCTGCATTTTTCATGACGACGTTTGACGAGCGGCCTGCTCCTGCTCCTGCCTCTCATCCATGCGAAATGCATTTCGAATTCAGTTGCCCCGTCAATGCCGTTTATAAATATGCAAAGTGCAGTCGACTCATTCATTATTGAACCCGAACCCCACTGCCCGCGGTCACTTTTGGGCTGGCAGGGCGGAGCATAGACCGCTAGCACTCGTGCGTGCTCCGCTTTATTTATGCAAAATTTGCATGACCACCGAAAGTGGTTTTGTAAAATAAAATATCCACTAAAAAATACAAAAAGTTCTCCTCTGACGCTGCAAAAACAGAACATTCGTGCAAATTGCTCGTTGGGCAATGAATTTTTGTACTTGCGGTGGGGTGGGGACGAATTGCTAGATACCCTAGGTGAGGAAAATGGCTTTTGTTATTGTGGGGATCTTAAAATAGTTACGACAGTAGCTTCCTGTCCAAGGGTACCGAGCTGAGCCTTGAACTCGAACTTTAGCCGAGCCTTCCTCGATTACTGGCGCAATATATCTCTGGCGAACACTAAATGTTTATTGCCATGATACCACCACACTCTCCAGTTTATTGCCCAAAACATCTATAAGCGGCATGAGCATGGCCTACTTCTTTAAGAATTTACTCTTAGTCTTTAAGTTTCGTTTTAGTAAGAATTTAGTGTACTAAACTTAGGTTTACCCTGAATTATAAAAAAGAACTACAAGAAAGGAACCACAAAATAACAATCAATCAAGAACACATCCTCTCGAATAAGTGAGAAGACGAATTCTCAAATTCAGGTCATTTTGTACTTTAATTTTTAAGATAACTTATTTTAGTACTCGAAGCTTAAGTTTTTCTATTTACTTAGCTGAATTTTATAATTTTTAAAATGTCTTAACCTAATTTTCAGACCAAGGAACAACAAACAATCAAGATCATTATCCTCTCGAATAAGTGAGAAGACGAATTCTTAAATTGAGATCATTTTATACTTTAATTTTTAAGATATCTTGCTTTAGTACTCGAAGCTTAAATTTTTATATTTAGTTAGCTGAATATAATTTTTAAAATGTCTTAACCTAATTTTCAGGCCTATGACAGTCGCCAGCTGATGGTCACCTTCTTCGTTTGCCTGTGGGGCGCACGGCTGTCCGGATATTTGCTATATCGCATTATAAAGTTGGGTCGCGACAAGCAGTTCGAGGATACCCGCCGTAACATCATTCGCTACGCGGTTTTCTGGACCTTCCAGGTGAGTTCTGGTGGGACGGTGCTCGGTGCAGGGGAACTAAAGCCCGACCAATCCATGGCGTCAGCCACTTTTCAATATTCGACTCTCAATGACAGAACCTTCAACTTGGAGGTGGAAAATCAATCAAACTGTCACTAATTGACACGTGCGCAAAGGTTTTGAATATTTCATATTTCAGCACCTGTCGACCGAGCGAGCAACATGGTTGGAAATGGTAATCTCAATGTGGCCCACACCCAGACCGACCAACAATTAAAGCGCCATTCTCTCGGGCCGATTGACATGGCACATGTGGGCGACACCAACTAAACGTTCAGTGGGTGGGTGTGGGTGGGGTTGGTGGTTGGTCATGGGTGCCAAGTGGGTGGTTGCAGTCCGTCCGGCCTTCATTGTATGTGGTGCTGCCGGCGATGGCGATGGCGATGAGGTTGGCGTTGGCGTGCTGCATGTGGCATGTCCCGCCATCGTTTTGTCTCCATTTATTTCGCATTTTCCCCCAATTCCAATCACTTGTTGCCAGTCGAAAATACTGGCATTGCAATCTGTAATAAAGTGCCAAAATGGAAAAGTGCATGCTGAATTGGACTTCAATTTGATATATCTGTTTGAGTACTGCAGTGAATTTTTCTTTGTTGGCCCTTTGGTAAAGTAAGAGGGGGTTTAAAATCTTAAAAGCGCATGGGAAACATAATTTTAGCGTAACGTTGGGAAAAATAAATAATCATGGGTTCAATCAAACATTGCAGATTTTAAATAAAGAGGTCTTTATAAAGAGGTTTTAGAAGTAGAGTTCTTAAAAGCTTCAGAGCATAAACCTTTTGTTTACAAATTTTAGCTTTGATTGATTTACCTAAATTTTTACCCTAATTCCAATTTTAGGCCGTGTGGGTGTACATTGTGTCACTGCCTGTAATAATCATCAATTCACCGCGCCACTCGCAGCCGCGTGCCCCAAAGACTATGACCACATTGGACTCCACGGGAACGGGTATGTTTATCGTTGGTCTGCTGGCGGAGACCTATGCGGATCTCCAAAAGTTCTCATTCCGCCAGGATCCGGCCAATCAGGGCAAGTTCTGCAATGATGGTAAGCATTTAATAACAGGTATGTTTAAATAAATGTTATAATGAGTAATTCCTATATTAAGGACTTTGGAGCGTGTCGCGGCATCCCAACTATTTTGGCGAAGTGGTCATCTGGTGGGGCATCTTTGCCATATCGCTGAATGTGATCAGTGGCCATGAGTGGGTGGCGATTGCCTCGCCCATTTTCACCACGATGATCATCCTTTTTTTGTCCGGGATTCCGCTGCGGGAACGTAGTGCCGATGAAAAATACAAAGAGTAAGTATCAACTTTATTTTTAATAACTAAGGTTGAAAAAGTTATTTGCCCTTATATTTGATAGACTTCTAAGTTTTTAAGTTACATTAAAAGTAAGAGCTATTTGAGAAGTAAACTCCACTGACTTTAAATAGTTCATTATTAACATATAGGTTATTGATTGAATGATTGGTCGAATGATTTAATATTCTTCTCTGCTCTTTCCAGCCAACTGGAGTACCGGAAGTACAAGGCCTCGACCTCGCCGCTGATCCCAGTGCCTCCAGCCGTCTACGTGGAGGTGCCCAGTGCCCTGAAGTTCATCCTGTGCTGCGAGTTCCCCATCTACGACTCGATGCGGATCCAGAAGGACCTCAGTCCATACTCGCTCTCGATAGCCCGCTCCCACTCGCACATCTAGCAGTCAGTGGCCCACTCCAGCAGCGCGGCGGCTGGCGTGGGTCAACTGAATGCCCATTCGGGAGGTCACTCCGGGGGCGGCCACTCGGTGGGTCTCTCGCTACACCGGGGTCAGTGCTATGGGGCCAATGGCGGCGATGCCGAGAGTCACCAGAACTGTGGCGGCAGCTGTCGGAACGTGCACGTCAAGTCGAATCCCTACCAGTGCGAGGCGGGCTACGGCCACTATCCGGTGTGCCACACCGACGACGACACGGATGACGGGATCATCTACATGGACCGCACCCACTTCTACCACGAGCAGGAGCAGCATCCGGCGAAGGCGGTGTCCAGCACCAAGTGCAGCTACCTGGCCGAGGAGGAGCTGGCCTCCGACTACGACGAGGATGTGCCGGCCATCGACCTCAGCAAGGCCACCAGTGTGGAGAGCTTTGGTACCCGGGTGCAGTCGGAGCAGGCCGTGAATGCCGACGGGCTACCCGTGACCGTGACCACGATTTTGTGATTGCCACTCTAAGATTTCTTACCGAACCAAGTGATGTTGTTCGGATCGGATTTTTATATTGCATGTACAATGGTGTGGAACTCTTTGTAAGTCCTTGAAATGGTGCGATTTCGGAGTATTTTAATATCTAGAATTTTATTCTTTAACAAAATATTTGCATGAGGTTTATTAATCTTTAATCCAGATCTTTTTTCTTGTAATTATTCTATCCTAAGGTTGTTTTAAATTCTCAAAGGGTTAAGTTACCAAAGATAATGTTCATTAAGTTTTGGAAACTTAAAAGTGAGATCGCCTATTCTTAAAAATATGTGGCATGGTTCTTGTATATATATATTGACTAACCCCAAGGTTATTTAGGTCATGATTTTAAAGGCGAAACGCAAAGGTACTACCCAATCTTTTAAAAAGAAATTCGTTCCACTCTTTTGTATAGAAATAAATATATTTTATTCTGACAAATGCCAAAGTACCGGATGGTAATGGTACCTAGCATATTGGATACTCACAGCTGTCTAACACTCTAGTCTCTATGCTATTGTTGCTCAAATAACTAATGTGCCTCTTATGTGCTCTGCGCACCCCTAGATTGTTGCACTCTTACAAAGTTTACGCTAGCCTCTGTTGAACTCTCGTTGCTCCGCGACAAATGTTGCCCCCAGATCAAGAATGAAGATGAAACCCTATATATATATCTATATCTCAACTACATATTTTCGTATCGTATCGAACCGCAAATCCACACCCCACCAAACAAAAGGAATCGAATCTGAAGCCATTTAAACTGAAACATATCCCAAGGCAACGCAAACCCAACCAAAGGTCGATTTACACATACAATAAGTACAAGAATTGTCGCAGTGAATTACGATAGAGGACGTTCGATAGCCATTGTTATTTTATATACAGAAATATCTACTCGTAGTAGCTAAACAGAGAAATATACCCAAATGTATGTGCGTTACCCAAAATGTTCTCGATAAGTGTACGTGTCTGTGTCTAGTTTGTGTCTCAAATGTTAAGCAGTATTACCTAATGAACGAATTGTACCTAATTGATTATGCTGAGTATGGAAACTAATAAACGAAACTACAATTAAATGTACTTTGATTTACTTAAGAAGGCTTTAAAAGAGGTTGGTACCAAATTGTTTTATTAATTAAGGGGTTTTCTTTTACCCTTTCGGAACTAAGGTTAAGTGAAAGAGGTATTTCTACACATTCCCATCCCCGTAGGCCTTGGATAAATCCTAAAGATGGCTCTGACTCATCCGTCACCCGACCTCCCATTATGTGTGCTACCCGACTCCTGGCCAAAACCTATACCTTCAGTATCCGTTAACGTCTCGTAGAGTAAACTACTCAGTAAAAAATTTAACGTAAAAAAATTTCCTGTACTTAAACTAGATTTATTTTAGATATATTTTTAATTTCCAATCTTTTGGAAACTAAATTTTGCGAGCGATAAATTTTAAGTGTTTTTTTCGAAACATCACAGTCAGTTTTTGTTGAAGGGGTACTCACGGGGAAAAAATACTGGGACAATGTTCGGAAAATCGCGTCAGTTGCTCTTCTGCATCTGCAGCCGGTCGCCCGTGTGCCGCCAATATGCACCCAAGTTTCTGAAGCGATCCTACGCCTCGCAGGCCATCAACCAGATGCTGTTGCTCCAGCAGATGGACATATGCGCCGATCAGCCGTCGCGAGCCTTGGTTATTGGTGTGTATGCGGATGAGGAGGACAAGAACGATGCGGGCATCCTGACGCCCGCTGGCTGGCGGTACAATATCCAAAAGACCAATGGTCGTCTGATCGAGGTGCTCCGTATGTCGGGACCCATGCCCAGGAGAGGCGAGGCCCGTCTGCTGTTCGCCGTGGAGCCGGAGCGCATTCCCTACTACTCGGTGGTGGCCGTGGTGGGTCTGGGCAAGGAGTGCTTGGGCTACAATCCCTATGAGGTCCTGGACGAGCAAAAGGAGGCCATCCGGCGTTCGGTGGCCGCGGCCTGCCGCATCCTCGCCGAACTGGACACCGATCGTATCGAGGTGGAGAACTGCGGACATGCCGAGTCCGCTGCCGAGGGAGCTGCCCTGGGCATCTGGTTGTACCAAGAACTGCGCGATCCCAAGACGCGAATCTTCGTCCCGGCCATCGATTTGTATGCCACCAAGGACGAGGTCTGCGACATTGAAGGATGGCGCATTGGGCTACAAAAGGCTGCCGCGCAGAACCTCACCCGCCAGCTGCAGGAGATGCCCTCCAATCTTTTGACACCGACTGCCTTTGCCCAGAATGTCGTCGAGGTTCTCTGTAAGTCTGGAGTGAACGTGGAGGTCAAGGTCGAGGGTTGGGCGGAGAGCCAGTCGATGCACGCTTTCCTGGCGGTGGGCAAGGCCTCCTGCGAGCCACCCATCTTCCTGGAGCTGAGCTACTACGGAACCTGTGCCGAAGAACGACCCATTGTCCTGGTGGGCCAAGGAATCACCTACGACGCCGGTGGCCTGTGCCTGAAGAAAAAGCACGAGCTCTTCCACATGCGCGGCGACATGACCGGAGCAGCTGTGGTGGTGGCCACCTGTCGGGCAGTGGCAGGACTTAGGTTGCCTGTGAGTTACCTTAGCTAGTTTAGATAAATCCTCCTCTAATAATCACTCCCAGGTCAACATCCGCGGTCTGATCCCTCTGTGCGAGAACGTAGTTGGCTGCAACTCCTTCCGTCCGGGCGACATGGTAAAGTCTATGAATGGCAAGACCATCGAGGTCCAGTGTACAGATCACGAGGATGTCCTGGTGCTGGCCGATGCCCTGCTGTATGCCCAGAACTTCTGCCCCAAATGCATCATTGACATTGGAACCTGCTCCGGATATATGCGTCAGTCCCTGGATGAGGCGGCCTGTGGTGTGTTCACCAACTCCGAGATCCTGTGGCAGCAGATCAAGCACGCCAGTATGCACACTGGAGATCGTGTGTGGCGCTTCCCCCTGTGGCACTACTACAGCAAGGCGGTGCGTGCCGGAGGACGCAGTGATGTCCAGAACTACGGCATCGGTCGTGGTGGACGTCCCTGCAAAGCTGCCGCCTTCCTTCGTGAATTCGTACCCTGCGGACAATGGATGCACATAGTAAGTTTGGCTTTTATGTGATGAAAGAAAGTTACTATAATACCTTTATTTTTCCAGGATGCTACCAACGTGATGGTCACCAACGGCATCGACTTTGAGTATCTGCGACGTGGAATGGCTGGTCGACCCACCCGAACCCTCATCGAATTCATTGCCCAGACCATCTGCAAGGACACCGCTCCCAAGATGGGAAAGTAGGCGGAGAATACGGAGGAAGGATCAACTGACGAAGATGGCGAAATCCTATTGGCAGCTACAGCGCTACAACCATGTCTTTATTTTGGTGAAACTTTTTGAAGTCTGTACAAGGTGCTTGTCTTTAATCAGTTGCGTGATATTTCCTTTGCTTACGAGACTGTTCGGGCCAAAAAATGTTTGTTTGCAACCTTATTGAATAAATTATTTATCTTTAGAATTGAAATAAATATGTGTAAAATAATATAAAATGAAATAAATAAAAGGAATACCAAATTTATTAATTGGTGCTTTAGCATGGGGTTTGGGTATAAATTGCGGATATTTAAGTTTATAATGAAATTAGGTGAAGGTTGAATAAATGCATTTTGTTAAAGGACAATGGTATACATTTGAAATCCTGTCGATATTCAGTACATTTCTTGTATATTATATTTTGATAGAATATACAATTTAAATAGGCTTCCTTTAATGAAAATCATTCTTTTAGTAAGGGAATTGTGACAAGAGTTCAATGACCTTTTTCGTTTCGTCTGATATTGTTATTCTATTAAAATAAAATTTTGATAATTTTTAAGAAAAGTGAGTAAGCATAAGCATTTAAGAAAATTTTAACATATATCCCAAAGCAGGCATTGCCTTATAAGTGCAATCTTGAAGATCTAGCAACCTTTTGGGTTATTCTGTCAGTGCCACGTCGAAAAGGTGCAACATAGGACGAGCTCAGTCTCATTTTTATTCGTTTCGAGGTTGAACACGTACACATTTTTAGCTAATCTGGGTGAAAAAATTCTATGAATTATTTTGAACGCGGCACAGAAAATCGAAGAGCAAGTTTTCAATCCTAGTAGTATCCTTTTGTTCTGATCAAAGTTTTAAGTTCAACTTCAAGCAAAATGTTTCGGTTTTCGCGCAATGCAATATCCCGGGCTTGTACGCTCGTCATTAGTCGTCCGGAGGTGATCCGCCATCGTAGGTACGCCTCGCAGGCCATCAACCAGATGCTGCAACTGCAGCAGATGGAGATCTGTGCGGATCCGCCGTCGCGAGGTCTGGTCATCGGGGTCTATGCCGACGAGGAGGATAAGAACGATGCCGGCATCCTGACGCCCACCGGCTGGAAGTATAATGTGCAGAAGACACATGGGCGCTTGCTGGAGGTGCTGCGTATGTCGGGACCCATGCCCAAGAGAGGCGAGACACGCCTCCTGTTCGCCGTGGAGCCGGAGCGTGTGCCCTACTACTCGGCGGTGGCGGTCATTGGCTTGGGCAAGGAATGCCTGGGCTACAACCCGTACGAGGTGCTCGACGAGCAGAAGGAGGCCATCCGCCGCTCGGTGGCCGATGCCTGCAGGATTCTCGCAGAGTTGGACACCGACCGCATCGAGGTGGAGAACTGTGGCCACGCCGAGTCTGCCGCGGAGGGAGCTGCTCTGGGTATTTGGATTTACCAGGAGCTGCGAGATCCCAAGCGAAGGATCTCAGTGCCCTCCATCGATTTGTACGCCACAAAGGACGAGATCTGTGACATTGAAGGATGGCGCATTGGTCTGCAAAAGGCTGCTGCCCAGAACCTGACCCGTCAGCTACAGGAGATGCCCTCCAATCTTTTGACTCCTACTGCCTTTGCCCAGAATGTTGTCGAGGTGCTCTGTAAGTCTGGAGTGAACGTGGAGGTGAAGGTAGAGGGTTGGGCGGAGAGCCAGTCGATGCACGCTTTCCTGGCGGTGGGCAAGGCTTCCTGCGAGCCACCCATCTTCCTGGAGCTGAGCTACTACGGAACCTGTGCCGAAGAACGTCCTATTGTCCTGGTTGGACAGGGAGTAACTTACGATGCGGGTGGCTTGTGCTTAAAAGAAAAACAAGAGCTCTTCCACATGCGAGGCGATATGACCGGAGCGGCCGTCGTTGTGGCCACCTGTCGCGCAGTGGCTGGACTTAGATTACCGGTAGGTTGCTGCATTACCATTAGCTTTACTCAAATTTAATCATCATGATCTTAGGTCAACATCCGCGGTCTAATCCCACTATGTGAGAACGTTATTGGATGCAACTCTTTCCGTCCGGGCGACATGGTTAAGTCCATGAATGGCAAGACCATTGAGGTGCAGTGTACAGATCACGAGGATGTACTCGTGCTGGCGGATGCCCTGCTGTATGGCCAGAACTTCTGTCCCAAGTGCATCATTGACATTGGCACCTGCTCGGGGTACATGCGCCAGGCGTTGGATGAGGCGGCCTGTGGTGTGTTCACCAACTCGGAGATCCTGTGGCAGCAGATCAAGCATGCTAGCATGCATACTGGTGATCGCGTTTGGCGCTTCCCGCTGTGGAACTACTACAGCAAGGCGGTGCGTGCCGGAGGACGCAGTGATGTCCAGAACTACGGCATCGGCCGTGGAGGACGTCCTTGCAAGGCTGCTGCCTTCCTCCGTGAATTCGTTCCTTGCGGCCAGTGGATGCATATTGTAAGTTTCGCTTTTGCAATCCGTAGGTTCTTGTTTTGATCTGGTTCCTCCTTCCAGGACGCCACCAATGTGATGATCACTCGTGGCGATGAGTTCGAGTATCTGCGACAGGGCATGGCTGGACGGCCAACAAGGACACTTATCGAGTTTATTGCTCAGTCCATATGCAAGGACACGGCTCCCAAGCTGAACAAGTGATACTTTGAGCTGCGTTTTAGTTTTATCAGACGATGCCACCACACGTTCATCGGTATTCTTTTAACGACTGACCAACCTATGACTTCTTTAACGTTCTGACTTATCTGATTGGGACCACAAAATGTTAAAATTATTTCGTTCTTTAATGACATACAAATTTTAAGTCATATAAAAGTAACTACGTGTATACTTATTGGAGTTCCTGTAAAGGTGCGTTTTGGATATTGGAGCTAACTAGAATGTAGTTGATTGCTTGGTTCTATCCGTTGATAACAGACAAACTAATGGGGCTTTGCAAGCATTTGGGCATTGGGGATATTTGCATGGACGTCTGCTACGCCAACGAACCGGCATGAGTAATCACAACATTAATATCGATAGGAGGATAGTTTTGCAGCAGTTTCACGTTCGACGCAAAGTCGTTTTCCAAAATGGCTTCTCTTTGGATTCTGGAGTATTCATAAAATTAGTGCCTGCTTTTTACTGAAAACCAAATAGCTTACAATATCATGGAACAGCATATTTTAATCAGGAAATCGAAACGATGTTCGTCCGCAAACACGGAATCCCAAATGCGCAGCACATCCGGCAGTGGAAACTCCTGCGATAGGAGCAGTGTAAGCCACCTGAAGCTATAGTACTGCGGATGCAGCTCCTGGCTTTTGAGCAGCTCATAAATGCTTAGGTCCTTTGATTTCAGCATATTCGATAGCCTAGCCATCATGAACTTGATGCCGCCCTCTGCATCGTCTAGGGTTTTGATAAAGAAGTCTCTTATCTCGCTCATCAGGGCGGTGAAACAGAAGAAACAATCGGCCTCGGCGTGGGCGCGATATGAGAGGTCTGGATCAGAGGCCATTACGTAGTAGATGGGTCCCACAATCTCGTTCATGCCCTGGACATATCCCTGGCCGGGATTCAGCTTGGCGTAGATAAACAAAATGCGTTGCACAACCTCCCAGTGGGCCTCTTGGCCCTCCTCCATGGCAGCATAGTTCTCCACGGAGCGTTTAGTGATCATATTTATCTATGTAGAGAAGAAGTACTTATAAGTCGTGGGTTATGATGGGGTGAGCTTACTTACTTGCTGCTAAAGTCCACATGATATGCATAAAACAACACATTCTGAGCTTATTGTCTATCAGAAATCCGGTCTGAAACTCACCTTGGTCATGCCCAGGCCCTTGCGCTCCACATTCGCTGAGCTGAGCACAGCGGGAACCACCCGTTCGTGAAGCCTTCTTCCGTGTTCTCCCTTGCTGTGGACCACAATCTCGCAGGGATAGTCGGTGGGCTGCTGGAAAAAGGATATGTCCGGGCACAGGCGCCGCACATCCTTGTCGATCTGCAGCAGAAACTCGTTGTCGTTAAAGAACGTGTTCCACGCGCTCTCGGGTCCCTCGCTCAGCGGATGATCTTGCAGGCCAACGCCCCCCGAATCGGCTTTGTCCGCATCTCCACCGCCGTCTGCTTCACTTCCGTTGCTTGAGTGCCCTGGTGGTAGAACCAGCTCCTCGATGAACTGCTTGTACAGGGCTCGCTTCTGGGCCAGGGTCGTGGTCCAACTACTGCGCCTGGGACCCAAATAGCCTAGGAGAAGCTTCCAGCTGAGGGCTCGAAAACTCTGCACATCGGGCACACCTGTGGATTGTTGGGATTTCAGCTTTCATTGCCTCTCTAAGTCAGCTATCATATCCTACCGTTGAAGGCTAGTTTCCTGAGTTCCTTCAGGTCAATCACATCCTGCGGCCCCGCCAAAACATCCTCAAATTCCTTGACCCTGCGATTTGGTTGGAGAAAGTCTTTGTTTATGTTCCAGTTCAAATAGCCTTGGAAAAGAGTACATACCGCGCCTTGAAAATAGACATGTTGTGATGCTATGTGGGCGGGGTTTCGTTGGGTCCATGCAGGGCCCCTATGGTTTTTACTGAGGCTTTATCTTCGTTAAATGCGAGATATAGCACCGCCACAAAAATCCGCAACTATAACGCTTTCTCACCACCCCCAGGTGTGGTGAAGAGGGTCGAACCACCCTGCTTTTGTAGCGGACGGTCATACTCTGCCGGCGGCGACTGCGCGGTATTTTTTCCGAAACACCGAACGGTCATGCTAAAAATACTGATATCGAGTATAGCTATCGGTATCGATATGTGCACAATCGAGTGCCATGACAGCCGCTGACTTATCGATATTTTTGGTATTAAAAAGGCGCCAAAATTTGAAGTGGAAATTCAAAATGAAACCCCGCGAATGTGTTAATTAACCCATCTTAACCTTGTTCCCATACCTTTTCTGACAAACACATCCTCCCATTCATTCATAATTCCCTTCCTCTACCCTTTCTCTTTCACATGCCATTCGAGTGATTAATATAATAATGTATGCGCTCGTTTCCACCGATTTTTCGTGTGCCTTTCCTTGGTTTTTCAATTGCCTAGTAGTGCACACACACACGCAGTCCCGAGCAGACGCGTTCGAATAGTAGAATTTAGCGCACATTTCTGATTGTGCGGAGCATTTCTTTTGTTTACGCTAGTCGCTGGCCAGCAATGACGACCAGCAGATCATCGGCGTCCGCGTCATACAGTCGACCGGCTTTCTGGAAGGTGCCCGGTTACGAATCGCCATCCTCCTACCGCCCACAGCCACCCCAACCGCTCTATCCACCCCTTGTGCCCCAGCCACTCTCCTGTCGACGGCGCAGCAGCAGCGGGCTGAAGAAGCGCGTCCGTTTCGCCGACGAACCGAATGTGGGGGTGAGTTCAAAAAGAAAAACCCCAAGAAAAACGAAAAAACCCCCTCTTAAATCGGCCGGCTTGTCAATCATCGCACGCGTGTGCTCGTATATGTGGCCCCAATTCTCACCAGCCCGTCTCAGAGAAATCAGTTCAATAACATTTTGCCCCTGGCGGCTCGTAAATTTGTCAAGCCAAATCTAATTAATTGGCCACTGCTGCACTTTTGGCCAAGTAAAATGGCCCAAAAAGATGGATGGATCCATATTTCCATTGCCACGATATTTTTATACCACATTCTGGGCTGATCTAGAGCAAAAGTCACTGAAAAGCATTACAAAAATTTCAAATGAAAATGAAATGAAAACAATTCAAGCCGCAAATAGTAAAAACATTTCAAGAGCCAGCCAAAAAGTGCCGAAAACAGAATGTTTAAAATGAAAAATGAAATGGCAAACCATATATTGTGTATACATCGGCGGGAAACCGAAAGGCAGGAAAAGATTTTTCCGCTGTAAAAAGTAAAATTCTTGCCAAAATCGAGAATGTTTAGAAGAAATCAACGTCCTTCAACCGTTGACCCATGCATATTGCTTATACGTCACGTCGAACGTAGACTTTTCCATTGACTAATGCAATAAAAATCTGATATGATTAGCATGTTTAAATTGGGCAAGAGTGGCGAATTTGTTGTTGTTGTTCTGCTTTGCTAGTATCGCCTCAGTAAATAAATTTAATTACACTCTCTCGGTTGCCTCATCGCTGGGCAAACAAGTCTGGGAAAAACACTAATAAAATAGCTGAAAATGTCGAGGAAAAACAGATGCCTAGATACTTAATTCTCTCTGAACATCAAGCATGTTCATCAAAACATTTGCCTAGATGATGACACGTGGCATTCATTTCTTCAGGGTCAGTCTGCAACTGGATCAAGTGCTGCCCCAAAATGTGGTCAGCGAAATGCAGAATGCCACAAATGCAGGGCACTCGTCAAATGAAACAATGGGAACAAAGAGGTAGAAAAGCTTTTAAATGTGAGGTGGTTTTTGTATGCTCTATGGGGCTTGAAATGAAAAATATAAGAGGGTGTTTCCTTAAATTTTAATTAACCTTTTTTTTTAACATTTCTAAACGAATAATTAAACCTCGATATTTATTTTTTTTTGAATACTTGCTTTATGCATAATACATGTCACAAAACTAATACTACCAGTGCCAGTTTCCTCTATAGAGCATAGTAATTACACTAACGAGACACCTCTGCGTATGCGTAATATGATATAAACTTATCAAGTATACTGTTATCCTACGAGGAATGTGGGTCTTGAGGAGGCAAAAATGAACCAAACTACAGATTTTTCACGAGTATAGAACAACCTCTCTGAGAAATTCAGAGTACTCTGTGGCGGAAAACCCATTTAACGATTAGGATTCGCCAATCGAATTCATGTTTCTCAGCATGTAGTTGCCGTTGCCGGCGGATATAAGTTGTATATATGTACCCATGTACGATATACATTTGTGGCGCAGTGTACTCGTGGTATACCAAGACTCTGCTGCTTGCTGCAAAAAGGAATACGAATTGTATTTTAAAATTAGTACTTGAGCAGCTTTGCGATCGAACAAAACGCTTAACGGACTGCAATTTCGCGCCGCCTGCGCCTTGCAGGCCAGATAAAATAAACAATATAAACTATAGTTTCCGGATAGTCCGCTCGTTCTTGATGAGCCAGTGATCGGGATCCTCTGGATCGATCGTCATCAACATCACATCGAAGGCAGGATGAGCCCAAAGCTCCATGAGTTCGCGGTGGTCCTGGTGCGCGACGGACAGGGCACGCCCTGGGGCATCCGTCTGGTGGGCGGCAACGATCTGGACACGCCTCTGATAATCACCAGGGTAAATGGGCGTTATGTAACCAGAGACTGTCGCCTTGTGGTCGCCGATGCTGTGGTCCATTCATCAAAATGATGCACAGTCGTTGGGATTGCAGAATGGCCAAAGCAATTTGGCCTTTGTGCCCCACCGCTCCGCTTTCTAGTTTTTGTTCTCAACGCCCAAATAAACAACAACAAATCAAAATAGCGAAACGAGAACAGCAACAATAAACGTTGCAGCGTTTGCCAAACGACGCCAGTAAAACTAATTGAGGCGCAAACAAAATAGCCGAAGAAATCTTCCTCCCCTATTATCTCAATTGCGATGTAAACATCAGCACACAATCTTTCGATCATAATTCTGTCTGCATCTATTTAGGCACCATAATAAATCTATGTCAAGGTGTAACCCTTACAATGTGTATGTGAAGTGACCTTCCCACCGTTTTTGCAGGTCCAAGTGGGCAGCCCATCGCACGGCGAACTGCTGCGGGGAGATATCATCTCGAAGATCGGCGAGTACGATGCACGCGACCTGAGTCATGCGGATGCACAGCAGCTGTTCCGCGGTGCTGGCAACGAGATCCGCCTAGTGGTGCACAGGTGAGCCAGGAAATCCGTGTTCCTGAACAGGAAAGCGGGAGATCAAAAACAAGTTCCGTATGTTTCGGGTTGAAAAGTAAATATTTGAGGTGAATAATACCTTCATTTTGGATCTTAAATTAATGTTTCAAGAAGAATTGGTTTAATCTTAAATTGCAATGCATATTCTTTTTAGTAATACCTTCATTTTGGATCTTAAATTGGTGTTTCAAGAAGAATTGGCTTAATTGCAATGCATATTGTTTTTTTAAATATTTAATTTTTATGTCAGAGATGGAGACAAAGTTTACGACCTACTTAAAAACTACTAAAAACTTATTTTATAGTAAACGTTTCAGAATTTTATATTTATCGTTAGACCTGAAAACGTTTCAGAATTTTATAGCTCACTTAAGTCCTAAACTAAAAATATTAATTTATGTTCTCTTTTTAAGAACTTGGGTAAAACTGATAATTTGCAGGTCTTAAAGATTGTGCAACGATTGTTTTTTAATTGCGTTTATTACTAAATGTAACATACAGTTTTTTTAATAAAAGACATAACCAACTATTTTATGTAAAAACACTTTTCTTGACAAAATTTAATATAAAAATTTTACCTTGTGGATACCGTATTACTTCTGAAAGTTCAGTTTTAGGTTTTAAACTTTTTATTTAGGAAAGTTAGAATGTTAGAAATGAACTTGTGCTTTAGTAAATTACTTTCTCCTTGTAGGACAAATTTTAATTTTATTCAATTCCAGGGATAACAAAATCGCCTATACGCAGGGTGGCACCCAAGAGGCGGGTCCTGGATCACGGTGCAACTCCACTTTGCCGCCGGTCACTCCGGATCTCTTGCCCCATCGAGGTCCCTCGCCCTTTTTGCCCGGACCCAGTCACTTTGAGAGGGCTCTGCAGTTGCCAGTGGACACACTGCCACAGACCGTGTTCCCCCAGTTGAACTCTTCCGGGGGATACGAGGTGCCCTCGTCTGTGTTCTCGCCGAAGCCAACTCGGGATCATCAACAGGATGTCGATGAGGAGCAGGCCGCCATTGTTAATCAGGTGAGTGATGTCAAATAAATGATAGGGTCCCTTTAAAATTGTAAGAAAAGAACCCTCAATCGCTGATCCATAACTATTTTATTTTGTTTCCACAACAACATTTTCAAAAATAATTTTTTCCAAAGACTTAGGCAATATTTTTAAGAACCCAAGCGTTTGCAGATAAATGTTGCATACTTTTCGGCAATAATAATGTAAAGTGTGTGTAAAATGAACAAGGAAACCATTTTCTGTGTCTATATCATCAAAGGTCGAAACAACATTATAAATTCTTCATACAAGAACCTAAAACAGTTAAAATAACTAGTTTTACTGTTCAACTTCATTTATCAGTGTCTGTAATTATTGGAAATGTTCATGTCAAACACATTGTAAAATGTAGAAAACGGTTTTTTGTAATTTGAATATACCCAAAACAATCGCTGACATCAGCAGATAGCAATGTTGGTGGTCAAGGTTCCGTCGCTTACATCCGCTAAATATAGCCCATAGATCGAGAGATTGGGGCGCTGAACAGGAAAAGGCCCAGTGACGCAGTGTGCAGGTGGAAATTGGCGAGGAATCAAACAAAAACAAGTCAGAAGCTGTAACAGAGAGCTGCCCGCCCACAAAAACTCTGCGGAAAATGCCAAGAGGCAAATACGCAAATAAACAAGAATGTATTTTCGAAACTAGGGGTATTTTGGGCAGGTGAGTGAGGTGTAAGGCGATGATTTTGA